AGAGAGAGAGAGAGAATTAATTCCTTGGAAGCAAGTTTGTTTCACGGGTATTCCCCGCGTGGGAACAACACGAGTCGAGCAAAAGGAGGAGGGAGGGGAGGGGGGAAGGAGAGGAGTGGGAATGATCGAAAGGAGAAAATTGCGAAATGTCGAGGATGATTGATTATTTTTCCTTCGGTTATCCGGTGTTTCGAGGCAAGGAGAAAGGGGAAGGAGAGGGAAGGAGGGGATGAAGGTGTATTATTATACAAGGGTAGGGAGGAGGGGCGGCGGGTGTGTCAAAGAAAACGTCGTCGTGGATAAATATACATCTGAAATAATAACGACAACCGAGCGTCTTCTCCAGGGAGTGATGAGAGAGTGAGAGAGAAAGAGAGGGAGGAGAGACTTGTATACAGTTAGAAAGAGAGAGAGAGAGAGAGAGAGGGGAAAGAGAGATCAGAGTTAATTGCGATATCATTATGAAAATCGGTGACGTATAACGCCTGTCCTAGTTACGTTCGAAGCGAAAATATACCACGTACAATAATATAGCGCTATAACGTTTGACCGAGTTAACGTGCGCGCGCGAGAGAAAGAGAAAGATAAATGTGTATCTTTATGAAAAATATTTCGTTGGAATCGACGTCGCGATGATCGAGAGGTTTACTTCGTCGTAAAGTTTCGTGTGGATTCGGGGATGAGATGGTGAAAGCACGATGCGATGCACAATTGATATTTTTTCCGCACGAACGTTTCAATAATTAATGCGTTGAGGTTATATTCGATACTTCGTGCTAAATATTTTATTTCATGTGGATTTGGGGATAAAAAGTGATAAAAGAATGTTGCGATTATTGATATTTTGGAAGAATCGTAAGAACGTTTCCATAATTATTTTTCGAGGTTATGAACGAAGGTATTACTTGTGCCAAATATTTCGAGTTATACGCGTTAATTTGACGTGGATTTGAGAATGTAATGATAAAAAGGACGATTAATATTTTGTGATTAATGTTTTGGAAGAATCGTGAAAATGATTTCGATAATTTTTGAAGTTATGAATGATATTTGTGCTAAATATTTTATGTTGTACAAATTAATTTGACGTGAATTTGGAAATGAAATGATAAAAAGGATGTTGTGTTAATGTTATTGTATTTGATACGATTTTGAGGATAAAAATGACAAAAAGGATGTTTTTTTGTATTGTTATAAACAATACTTGTGCTATTAATATTTCAAGTTATACACAAGTTATAATTTGACTTGAGGATGAAATGACAAAAGGATTAATATTTCGGAAGAATGGTGAGAATGTTTCAATAATTTTTGAGGTTATGCGCGATACTTGTGTTAAATATTTTAAGTTATACGTTCATTTCGTGGATTTGATATGGATTCGAGGATGAGATGATAAATATCGGAATATCGTGTGAACATTTCAATAATTATCCGTTGAGGTTACGCGCGATATTTGTGCTAAATATTTTACGTTATATGTTAATTGGATTTGATACGGATTCGAGGATGAGATGATAAATATATTGGAATATCGCGCGAGCATTTCGATAATTATGTGGCTATATTTGTGCAAAATATTTTATATTATATGTTAATTTCGTGGATTTAATATGGTTTTTGGGATGAAATGATAAAAGGATGTTGCAACGCATGATGTGATGAATTGAGGTTATACGCGATAAATATCTTACGTAACGTATCGTGGAAACGTACGTTATTTAATTGAGAAAAAAATTTGATTAAATTCTATGTGTAATTTTACGTGTACCTTTGTTATCGTTATCATTATTATTGTAATCAAAAATTAACGTAGCACAATATCGATATGGCACGTGTTTGATATTAAAACGATGACGAATTAAAATAATTTCAACCACTTAAATTTTATAATCAATTTTGGATCGAGTTAAATGTATTATTTTGGAATTCCATCATTTTACAAAATTTTCTCTTTCGTTACACGTGAAAATTACACGTGCACGTATTTATAATCATAAAATCATATATTTATAACAACTTTGAAGTTTAATAACCGAAAAATCGTGTATCGTGCATACGCCTGTTTATCTTTAATTTACAAGTATGGAATGTATAATATCACAATTTCAAAAAAACCTGTCGAAGTATTCCGATCTCTGATTTTTCTCCAATTTTTTCTCTCGAGATAGAAAGAAAATTTTGCCTTTATTCCAATATTCTAACTTTCCAAATAATGAAAAAATTTATTCATTTCCATCTTCGTTTCTTCTTAACCGTAACTCTTTTACCTTTTAGATTGAAAACTGAAAACTATCCTAATCTTTCTTAAATATTGTAAAAATTTCTCCATTTCTCCCATTTCTTCTTAATCGTGTGCCACTTTTTTTTTCATCAAGACTGAAAACAAAACTAT